TCAAAAGAAGTCATACAGAATGTGGACAGAAATCCTTGTAAAGGAAGAAAAAAAATTAACAAATTGCCTGACTGTAGAGGCAAACATTTTTTTTTAAGTGGGAAGCAGCTAACAAATTACCTTTTTTGTTAAAATGAGAGTTACCTTTTATTTATTTTTTTCCCACAAATTGTATTAATTGAATGATGCAGAAAAGTGGATATTTTCATTCCTCTGTACTAAGAAAGTAAGTTAATAATTGAGCCCATAATACATCTGTACTAATAGCAGTGCTCTAGTGTCACACAGTCGGATAGAATCACTCACGTGGGCCTAAGGAGAAAGAAAGTGGGTGTGCCAAATCAGCATGGTCGTCCTGGAAGCCATTAAAAGTTTATAAGGTAAAGCACAAATGAGAACAATGCTGTTTCAACTGGAAACACAGCAGATTCTTGCTGCCAATCATTAACCCCAAGGGAGCTCGGAGTGTCCCCCAGTTGCATTCTAACTTCGTATTCCCATTCTGGTTTCTTCCAAATATTCGTCAGACATTAGATAATCCTTTATCGACAAGTCCCTTTTTTAAAAATGTGGAATGAACTGCAGAGTACTCTAATTTTACTCACTAAATACCAGCCGCCAAGAGCCTGCTTAAAAAGAAAAAAAAAATCAAAGGACTTATCATTTTGTGCCCATGAAAATATTAATAATATCTTGGGTTTCTGAAGACCATGTTAGGGCAGGTCAGGAGTTGGAATGAACCTGAGTCCTTTCCTAGGGCTGGGAATGTATAGAATGTACAGGATTTAGCCAACAGACTCACTGGACTCATACTACTTAGCATGAGTGGAGATCAACAAGTGTTGATTAAGTCTTAAGCACTGACCTACACAAACAGTCACATAATGGCTTCTCTGTCTATTAAAACCATTATGGGTTCAGTGTAAAGAAGTATCAGTAACTGCTGGGTGCAGATAACTCTTCTGCTATGCAAAATATGCACGATAATGCAACACTTGTGAACAGATTCGAAGATGAGAACTAGAATTACTGCAGGATGTTAGGTGGCCTACAGGTAGTCCCATCTATGATCTAGGTGAAGCTACAGAAATGCAGGGTGAAGAGGGAGGTTATCACAGCCTGGAGGGAAAGGTGAGACCATATCTGAAGCAACACACTACACCTACCATCCAATCAAAATGGTCTGTCAAATAAGATGTTGAAAAGGCTTTAAAGGATAACATATCAAAATATCTAGATTTTTAGAAAAAAACTCAGCAAATCACTTCAGTGTTTGGACTATTTACTTTAGATACAGGTGTGCTCTTAGGTGTGAATGAATGAAACCTCTGAATGACTGCTAATCGGTTGTCATGTGTCCTCTGTAATTTTTGATACCCTTGAGGATCGAACTTGAGAGAGCTGATCTCATGCAGCCCTCTGTCAGCTCGGTCCCATTCTACTGCTCACTGCCAGTTCCTAACCTCAAAAGCAACTAAGAACCATTACAGGTTGGTAAATGTAAACGTATTTAGGCATTGTCTCTCTCAGTCAGTAAACACCATCTCACAGAAGTAAAACTATGCAGTATGTAAAGAAACTTTAAGGGATAAAGGGGAAATAATTAGGGCATCAAGAATCCAGAGCCTTGGGTGTTTGTAATGGTTCTGTAAGTTTATGACTTGAGTGTGAGTTTGGTCTTAATTTACTAGTGTCCTTTGGTGTGGCTTTCCTTTACAAAGATCAATTACTATAGTTAATACAACATTTTCAGAGGGACATTAAGAATAGCAGTTGGAAGCTGCACCTTTTTAAAAATTAAGGTTCAGCAGCCATGCCAGTGCTTTCAAAAATTCTATCTCCAAAAATATCACCACAATCATATTTAAAATGTAAAATGAAAGAAACATTTAAAATCACAATACTTGAGTATTTCTAGGCACTACTGTCGAGAAAGAAAGCTCCCATAATGCTCACTGTACTTTGGGGAAAAAAAAATCTGAAGTACAATAACTCATAGGAATCAAGTGGAAAATTTAAAAGGCAAGGAAAATCACCTCAAACAAAATGTTTGTAGAAAGGTACTGGGAAAATGTTTTTTTGAATTGTCTGTGCTTTTGTTTTTTATGACATAAAACAGATTACATCCTTTATCAACTGTACTTAAAAACCAAAATTCACACTGTTTTCAAGAACTTCTTCCCCTTATCCCTAAACAATTCAAATGTGGGTTTTATCCAGTATATGTATTTGTTAGTCTCTCTATCATAAAATTATTTCATCGTCTTAAATTTTTTCTTTTATAGATCTCCTCCATTATTAAAGATCTCCTTCCTTATAAAACTGATTTAAATTGATCACACTTGATCTTGAACAACATTGGATTTTTTAAAAAAATATGTGCCTCCACAAAAATAACTGATTTACCCTTGTTTTGAACTGGGTAATCTTCTGTCCTTCTTTGTTAGATGCCCAGTCATTACCATGATTAGACTGCAGTTAAAAAAGATTAATCTACATTCCTTTCCTTTAGAGTTCAAGACTTAATACTCGTTGTGTTATTAGCATTCGTTTTTAAACTTGAACTCCTTCTAAGAATCAAAGAGAAAAATTCTTTTTGACAGTTTCTGGTACAATGCTACATTTGCTTCTGTGATATACACGTAAATCAGTGTCATTAATGTTTCATAATTATCCCTTATCCTAGGTCTCTGTCAATGTTTGGATATTAAATAATATCTCACACAGTGGGAGATGTGCTTTTTATTTTATTTTTTATTTATTTTTACCATTTGGCAGCTTCTATTCCTCATGGAAAAGAAAAATCAGACCTAGACTATCCCTTTAGTCAACCTTTTAATCATTGTTTCTTGTCCAACATTTACTTTTTATCGCTGTCTAGAATGGCTAGTCTTAATTGGCTTTTAGAAAGTGGATATGCATTTATATATGTATATGCACTTATGTACACACACACACACAGTTTGAGAGTCTGTTCTCCTTTGTCATGTCATTAGACTGTGTGACTGTATATACACAGGACCCAGCACACACGTCTGACTTCTACCTCCCACTTTCTTCTCTCGTTTATGGGCCAACTTACTTGACCATAGAGTACCAATTTCACAGTTATGTTATTTGATATGTACTCTGTTACCATTTTAGATTTCTGTCAGCATACTACTGAAGTTGAAAACGAGTACTTAAAGGAGTAGTAAGTAAATCTCTAATAATAGCCTTCTATGTCTTTCCTAATGAACTATATTCCCTGACTCTTCGATTAAAATAAGTAAGCATGCTATTCATTAAGATATGAAATCAGCACATTTTCCTTTGAAAGCAATGCCTTTTAAAGTCACTATGCTAAAATTATCGATGCCTACTCTAATGAGCCACCTAATTCATAGGAACAGCAAAATAGTTTCCCATTTTTATGCAATCAAGATTCCCAATGACAAGTGTATATTTACCAGAAAACATTTGACACATAGTATTAAATGAAAAGCCAGCTACAAGCCCTATTCTGCCATCATCTTTTCACTCATTGTACAACAGGTTTATATAACACAACATAGCTCCCATGGTCAGTACATATGAATAGCAAGTAATGATTTCAATAGAATCATATTATTTTATCTTAAAAGTATTTTTCAACATCAGCCTGTTCCTTCTTTAGGAAATAGAATAAAACAATTATTCACAACACCTATTCCCCATATCTTCAAATAGTAGACATTCAGGAAATGTCTGCTGTTGGTAGTGACAGTAACTGGTATGGCAGTGTTGGAGTCTTTTCTGCTCACAATCAATAGCTAATTTAATAATGCTTTCCTTTGTCAATAATGCCTCTTGTTTTCTTACAGCAAAGGGGAAAACCCCAATTGATTGGTTTATTATTTTTGATATATGTTGAAGATTTTTAAATGATTTCCATTTAAACCCAATCTTACAATTTACTACCTCCTATATAGTTTCGCCAGTAAAAATTATCTGGTGGCTGGTCAAACGCCAAAGAATAATCTCATAAGAATGATTGAAAGAGTCTTAGAACATATGACGCTAGCTTTATTTAACAGCTTTCAATTGGAAACATCTAATTTAAATTTTTCTTATTCTGGGTGGTGATTTCATAGCAGATTTGCCAAGTAGCCATTTCAATATGGTCTGGGAAACATTTTTTATTTAAGTAGCCACTGAGTTTAGAAGAAATAAATTACTATAACATAATTAAATTCTAACCCAGTGATGTTTATAAAACAAAAATTAACAGGTTGAACCTCTTCTTATTTTATGTATTGTCACACTATGCTACAAGATTCATAATCTAATTTTATTAAGTGCAAATGTTTCATGATACTATTGTGATCTTTATTTCATAGTTACTCGTGTTAAAGTCAGCCTTACTATCACCACTTCCAGCAGTGATTTTTAAAAATATTTTAGATAAACAACAACAACAACAACAACGATTACCTGGCTTATTCTGAGAGAAAAAAATTTCATTCATAACTAGACAAATCAATATAAAACTCATAATCAGATAAATATGCAGGGACCTCATACACATATAGATACATCTACTAAAACTCATCATCAGATCAGTATCCATGGACATCATACACATATATCTACCTACTATTTCATAAAAACTATATAATATTCAAATATATTGCTTACAATTTCTGCATAAATTCACAAAAATATACTTGATTAGCTAAGTATTTCCTATGAATGAATAAGCAGTTAGTTGGTTTTTAAATCATTCAGCTACACAAAGAAAACTGAAATGTTTATGAAAGATACTAAGACAAAGTGAACAACTACCCAAAGGGAAGCACTGAAAGAAAGTACTACTAGAAATGTCTTGGTTTCTTCTGCATCTTATATTGTGCATTGCTTCTAATCATACCAACAAACAGGCCACGAGGGTCTACTATAACTTATTCTTCAGGCTTCACTGATACATTAATGCTCTCAAAAAAAAAAAAAAAAAAAAGACAAGAAAATCTTTTACAACATACCTGATCATTTATCTGGCATGCAACCAGGTTGTGCTGATCATAACAGCCGGCGAACCTGATGTACTTGAGCCAGCTTCCTACATCTGGTTGACTGGCATCTATGCAGAACTTCACATTGCAAAACTCATCTAAGATCTGGAAGGAGGAAGATGAGAACAATCGGTTACCATTCATGAGAGCGGGTAGTTGCCTGAAAATATTTCATTGAAATGCATATACGCTTTCTTTGAAACCTTAAGAGAAAAACCAACAGTGTGCATATTTTCAAAAGGAGAAATAGTAATAAGTTATGTTGGAGATGACAACATGCTTCTTTTCCAAGGAGAAAGGAATAAAATAATTTAACTCCTTACAAAAACGAATTCATTGGTTTCAAAACATACTTGTTTCATTATCAGGCATGAAAGAGTACTATGGACATAATTTTATCCAATGTACTTTTTACAAAAAAAATTTGCACAGCCTATAGTAATATATTTCTAATCATAAACATTCAATGTTTAGGTTTAGATAGCTAAACAAGTCAATATTTAGCTTTGCCTACACTTGTCAGGTGTATATTTTCACATTTTGGAGTTTTAATCCAATTAAAAACCTTAATATAAACATGATTAAGTTCTTTCTCCTAGTTTTTATTTCATCACCATAAAACAATCAAATCACACTCTCAGTTAAAAAAGAAAATAAGATTTACCTCATAGATGTGTCAGACTAAAGAAAAACAAATGAAAACAATCGATAGATAAACACTCGTGCAAAGTATAGCAATCCAAGGTTTTAGTTAACACATGTCAGTGCATATTTTAATATTATGCCCACAAACCTGGCTTGTGAACAAAACAAAATATATAAGGATATTGTGATATCTTCCCATCATCATAAATAGTTGAAAATTGCAGTTTTTTTCATGAGATTTTTCCACTTGGCCTATAAGAAGTGTGACTATTACTTTAGGACACTTATGAAACAAAAAATGAACAGAGAAAACCTCCATTTTTAAGGTTTTACATACTCAACACAGAGCATTCTGATTCACCAAAAGCAGTAATTTCTTAAACATCATTGTCAGAAGCTTCTGAGTTTTTGACCTAGGTGAATGATGACAGTGGCTGATAATGTAAAGTCACTCAGAAATGCAAACTTGAGGTTTCCTAAGAAAGACTCAACAAGATAGTCTAAACAAAAATGGATGAATTAAAGGAGCCCTACAGAACTCTATACCCTCATAACAGTTTAAAAGAAACTCTTGAGTATGGAGACCAAAAGCCATTTCGCATAGAAGCAGGTAATCACCAAACTGCAGATTCAAGTCATTAACTCACCATAAACTTCAAGAGGCACTATGAATAAGTACTTGACCATAGGGCAATTGAAAGGCAGTAATACTCCCACAATTTAAAAAAGAAAAAGGATGGAAACAGAAGGTAAGAGACAGTAATTGCTTCACACACACACACACACACACACACACACACACACACACACACACAAACACACACAGAGGTCTTCTTTTGTCAAGATCATCTCTTCACACTAAGCATAACTAAGCATAACTACCCCTTTCCTAACAAGGTCAATTCGTAAGCATTTGTTGTTTGGAAAATTAGAAGCTTTAAAGTATTGGTTCCTTCAGCTCTCAAGGCTGAGTAATTCAAATGGCAACTTGAGATTTCTCTTCTGCCCAGATGCTGAGAAGCCACACAAATAAACATATACCATCATACGTTGTGTGATATGTATATGAGGTTCTTTAGCCTTGTTGATTTGTTTTCTACTTGGTCTTTGTTGTTTGTTTTCTTGACTAGTGTCTTTGGGGGAGGAGGGGGGCTGCTGGCACACCAGAGACATATTTAATACACAGAGGGAGACCGTGAAAGGCGACACCAGTGCCATCTCACATCTGCAGAAAAGACCTGGGAAACTTGCTAATTTCCAAGTCGAGTCTCCCAGCCCTCCTGCTTCCAAGTGTTCTCGGCTGCAGGACCGAGGAGTTACGAATTACAGAGCCTGCACATAAAATCCGAGGTGTAATTTTATTCCGTGTTAACATGATTGCCCTTGCCACTGTCAACAGCGAAGGTAATTTCCAGAAAGATTCATTCCCAAGGCAAGTCTTCCCCCCCCCACCCCCAATCTGTTACATGAATTATTTTCAGGATCTCACCAACCGTGTTCACTTTCCTGACTCTCACTAGTCCTGTCCCAAGACAAAAGCTGAACTTTCCCCATGGACGCCTCCCGCACCCGGGGTGAATTACTGAATTATTTATGCATTTTTTGTTTGCATCGCTGGCACAAACTGCCTTGATCTCCCAGATGTCTTCATCGTCCTGGAAATCTCCAGAAAAAAAAAATAAAGTCACCACGCATCTCCCCGTGGCTGCCCCTAGGCTTTGGGGGTGTTGGTTGTCCTCTGGGGCTGTCAAGTTCTGAAGGTGGCTTGGGGGGGGGGGTGGCGGGGGGGGAAAGGCACACATGTCCCTTTGGATAGAACTTCAGCCCCGGCCCCGGCACGAGGAGCCGGAGGGCGAGAATCCGCACCACGCCACGCAGCCGCGGGTCGGGCTGGGACGTTCTCACGGAGCACCGACTGCCCGCGGAGCACGGAGCGGAGGTGAAGCCCGGCCGGGCGCCGCGGCGGAGCCCCCGCACCCGCGCCCCGCGCCGCGCGGCAGAGCGGGAGGACGGGGAGCGGGGCCGGCACGGGACCCGCCGAGGCCGGCCGGCTTCCCTCCCTCCTCCACGGGACCCAGACCTCTCCCCGCGCCTGAGCCCCGCGCCGCACCGCGACCCTGCCCAGCGCCCAGACATCTCCCCGCGTGGAGACCGCGGTGGGCGCACTTACCTTAGGGTCCCGACGGCCCCCACGCGGCCGCGTGGCCGGGGTCGGAGGAATCCCGCTGAACCGCGTGGCGCGGCCGGCGCCCCGCACGCGCTCCCGCACCGCGCTCCGCTCCACGGCCCCCGCCGCAGCGCAAGAAAACGCATTCAAAAGAGAGAAATCGCCCCGACTCCGGCGCCGCGCGGGCGGCGTGGGGCTCTGCGAACTTGGCGCCCCGCACCCGGCCCGGCCCGCGCGGGGCGGGTGGATGGTCCGCCGGCCGTGCGCGTTGTTTTTGTATCTATAGATATGTATATATTCCTTCTCCGGCCCTGCGCCGCGCTCGCCCCGCGACCCCGCCGGCCCCGCACGCGCCCCGGGCGCTCGGGAAAGTTCTCCGAGACCCTCTGAAACTTCTTCCCCGGCTCCCGGGTCCCCGGGGGGGGGGGGGGGGGGACGGGCGAGAGGGGAGGGGGAGGAGGGGGAGGAGGGGGAGGAGGAGGGGGCGGAGGGGGGGTGAGGGGCGTCGGGCCCCCGCGCAGCGCCGGCCTCCCCGGGGCCCCGCAACCCCGCACGCGCGCGCGCGGGGTGGGATCTGGGGGGGGGGGTGAACTGTCTCTTTAACGGGGCCCGCGCGGGTCCGCGGAGCGCCGGGGCCCGGGGACGCCGAAGGGGCTCCCCTTTCGTCAGGGTTTAAAGTGACAGCAGCCCGCTCCGGCGGGAGAGGTCACCCAAAGGTCGGCCAGACTCGAGGCGTGCGGGGACGGACAGGAGAGGGATGCGCCACCTCCCCACCCCCCCGAAACGTGGAGCCTGCTCCCGGGTAAACAGCCAATCGGGAGGTCCCGCTGGCCGGATTCCTCTCCCCGGGGAAATATCCTCGGGTTCTCTGTCCTGCGAGCACGGGTTGTGAGTGTGTGAGGGGGGTGGGGGATGGGAGGGATGGGGTTGGTGAAGAAGAGTTTTTCTGGGGATTTGGGGGGGGGGGGCGCTGCGAGGGCCGGGATTACGAGGTGTCGGGGTCGGGGGACCAGGGAGATGGGTTTAGCGATTCTCAGGACGCAGGAGCGTCGGGGGAGGGGGGGACGCCCGTGGCCGCCGCCCCGCGCAGTGAGTGTTGATCCACTCTAATTGAGCATTTGCCTCCCAGCGCTTCCCCGCGAGGAAGCTGGCGGAGGGGCGGCCCCTTCCCGGCCAGCCCCGGTCCGCGGAGGACGGCTCCGCTTGGACGCGGGCGGTAGATTCGACCCATCCGAATCGAGATCGATGGCTGCTGAACGGTGACCACTTTCTCTGGTACATTAATTCAAACGCCAGGAACGCCCGGAAGGGGAATTTCGCAATCTGGCCGTCCCGATTATTAACAAAACTCCCAACCTCAGAATTGTTGCTTTTACGGATTATCATACTGTGTGTAACACACGTATAGTCTGCTTAATTAACTGACATCAAGACAACACTGGAAACAGGAATGCCGGTGACCAAAGTAGGCTGGGAAGAGCTGAGTGAAAGCCACCAGTTAGCTGCAAATAAGTTCTTTTTAATGAGGCAAAAAAAAAAAAAAAAAAACAACAACAACCCCATTCACAAAAATCAAAGAAAGAAAAACACAACGTCTCCCCCAGCTCCACACTGGAAAAGTGAAGTGCGGGGAGTCGGGGCGCCCCGGAGGGGAGGAGAAGGGCCAAGAAGGGAGCTGCTCGGGGAAACTTTATGTGCAAGCGGGGACGGGCCCCGGGGGCCACCCACTTTCCTTTCCTCCCGGTGAATCACACGTGAAAATCGAAGTCGATCTGCACCCTCCTCCTCCCCCCTCCCTCGCCCCCCAAAATGCTGACTGAAAAGCAAGAAGAAGAAAAAGTTAACAAAAGCGAAGGAAGAGAAATGGCCGGGGCGGCGGCGGACTCGTGGCGGTGGCCTGTCCTCGGTGGCCCGGGCGGTGGGAAAGGTCGCGCGGTGGCGCTTAGGTAGAGGGACAGCAACGATCCTTTGTGAGTCACCCCGGGCCCGGCCCGACGTCCCCGGGAGCTGGGCGCTCGCGAACCTTTAAAGGCTCGGGCCGAGGCAGCATTGATTTCCTGCCTCCCCTCGACTTGCCCGTGGTCGGAGTTCGTTCTTTCTTTCTTTTTTTTTTTAATTTAGCCATAAATTGGACCGGCTCGAGCTATGAGCTGTTCTATTTTCTTCCTGTCAGGATGAGGGATTTGTTTTATGATGCATTGTGTATTAAATACAAGTAATCTGGGGGAACCGATTGCTTCAGACGGTGCGGCCTGATCCGGGGGTCTGAGCGTTCAGCGCCCCAACCCTGCCT